GACATAACGTTCGGTCAACAATTTTGTTGATGCCTTTTTACCAGGATGAGAGAATCCATGAACGAGATTGAAAATTCGTTTGCGCATGCTTTCGACAATAAAAGGTCGAATTTGTTTGGTAGAAGTGTCACAGTAAATGTATAATTCAGAATTGGGTAAATTGGTTTTACTTAAAGTCAGTGAATTTTTGGTCTTGTTTTCAACGATATCTAGAAGTTCGTGGTCATTTTTTTGTGATTGTGCCAGAAGTTCTAGGCTGATATCATCTGTTTTGACTTCTTCGATGCGCGAAAGAATGTCTGCAACAATATTGTTTTTGCCAGCAATGTGGCGTATGTCGGTCGTGTATTGGCCTATGAAATCCAATTGTTGTATTTGACGAGGAGATGCTGTATCAGATCTCTTTTGGAATGCATATGTTAATGGCTTGTGATCGGTGTAAATAGTACATTCGCGTCCCTGAATCATGTATATGTGATGTTTTACTGCTTGATAAATCGCTAGAAGTTCGCGATCGTATGTGCTATATCTTTTTTGAGTGTCTGTCATACGTTTAGAATAAAAACTCAATGGTTCTAGCTGGTTGTTAGAGATTTGGTGTAGGTGTGCCCCTACTGAAAAATTGCTAGCATCAACGTACAAAGCTAATTTAGCGTTTGGAATTAGATGAGCTAATAGTGTGGCATTGACAATGTTATTTTTTGACTGTTCGAAGGCTTTGGATGCGTCGTCGTTCCAAATTAATTGTGATTTGTCTTTCTTTTTGTTGCCCTTGATCAAAGACTGAAGTTTGCCTTGAATTTGAGCTGCATTGGGCAGAAAACGACGATAGGTATTCAAGAGAGCAAGGAAGCTGCGAAGTTCGTGAGCTAACAGGCCGGCTGAAAAGTTCGTAGGCTAACATAGTAAAACACATTTTTTTGGCAAAATTCGGTTTTATTATTCAACATACATGCCTTCGAGGGCGATACAGCGATTCCAACGATTTTCCAACTTTTCGATACCATTTTTATAGTACGATTTCTCTTTACCCTCAAAATAGGCCTCTGTTTCAGCGATTACTTCTTCATCAGCGCTAAAAAAATTTCCCGCGAGCATTCTTTTGAGGTCTGCGAACAGGAAATAGTCGCTGGGGGCCAGATCTGGAGAATACGATGGATGGGGAAGCAATTCAAAACCCAATTCATGCAATTTTGCCATCGTTTTCATTGATTTGTGACACGGTGCATTGTCTTGATGAAACAGCACTTTTTTCTTTTTCAAATGGGGCCGTTTTTTTGTGATCTCAATGGATCTGGATCTTGCGGAGATCCTACGCATCTATCCTATCTAAAAATCATTGTATGGATCTCATCCTTCAAACGCTCCAATAACGCTATGTAGTAATCGCTGTTGATGGTCCGGCCCCTTTGGAGGTAATCGATGAATATGATACCGTGCGCATCCCAAAATACAGACGCCATAACCTTGCCAGCCGACTGTTGCGTTTTTCCACGCTTTGGATTCGGTTCACTGTGTGCAGTCCACTCGGCTGACTGTCGATTGGACTCCGGAGTGTGGTGATGGAGCCATGTTTCATCCATTGTCACATATCGTCGGAAAAATTCGTCTTTATTACGGTTGAACAGCTCCAAACATTGCTCCGAATCATCAACACGTTGTTGCTTTTGATCGATTGTGAGCACGCGCGGCACCCACTTTGCAAACAGCTTTCGCATGTCCAAATATTCATGCACGATATGTCCAACACGTTCCTTTGATATCTTTAGGGTCTCAGCTATATCGCTTAACTTCACTTTACGATCATTCAAAATTATTTTGTGGATTTTTTTGATGTTTTCGTCGGTAACAGCCTCTTTTGGCCGTCCACTGCGCGCATCGTCTTCAGTGCTCATTTCGCCTCGTTTAAATTTAGCAAACCACTTCTCAATGGTTGATTTCCCTGGTGCAGAGTCCAAATAATACTTATCAAATTTTGACACATATCTTTTGAAGGTTGGCACTAATTAAAAATCATATGGATTTAATTCTAGTAACGCCATCTATGTGTCAGCCTACGAACTTTTCAGCCGGCCTGTTAATTCTGGTTTCTTGAAATTTTTAATGACATCTACTTTTTCAGTGTTTGGTAAAATTTCATTTTTGTTAACGATATGGCCTAAAAAGGTGATTTTTTCGAGGCCAAAATCACATTTTGCGAGATTTATTTTCAAACAGTGTTCGCGCAAGCGTTCGAATACGATTTTTAAGTGTTGTTGATGTTCTGCGGCATCTTTAGAAGCAACACAGATTTCATCGACGTAAACGCTTACGAAGTCCAAATCGTTGAAAATATTGTTCATAAAACGTTGGAAAGTTTGAGAGGCATTTCTTAATCCGAATGTCATTACATTGAATTCGAATAATCCGAAAGGAGTTATGATGGTCGTTTTTTCTTTATCTTCTTCGGCTATTCGGATTTGGTTGTATGCGCTAACGAGGTCAATTTTGGAGAAAATTGTTTTGCCAGAGAAATTGTGAGTGAAATCTTGTATGTGTGGCAAAGGATACCGATCAGGTTTGGTGATTGCATTTAACATACGATAATTGCCACACAAACGCCATTGACCATTCTTTTTGAGTACCATATGAAGTGGAGATGCCCATGGGCTTTTACTAGGTTGACAAATGCCGTTTTTGATCATTATTCCGAATTCTTTCTTAGCTATTGCGAGTTTTTCTGGGTTAAGTCGTCGAGTCCGAGAAAAAACTGGTCTTTCTGTTGTAATAATTTGATGTTTGACTACGTCTGGTTTCGAATTATTACATTTATTGAAGTTTGGCGGAAGAGTGAGATCTTTGAATTCAATTAAGAGATCGGTGAAATTTGTTTTGTTATTAATCGTACTAATTGTCTCGTAATGGGTTAATTGAGACACACATCTCGTGCGTAAATTAGTTTTTGCATCGATTAATTGTTTGTTTTTGATGTCAACTAATAGATTAAATTCGTCGAGAAAATCTGCGCCAAGTATTGGCTTTGAAACGTCGGCAATTAAAAATGTCCAAGTAAAGTTACGTCGTAGTCCTAAGTCGACTGTGCAAGTGAAATGACCGAAAGTTTCTATAGGTGTGCCATTTGCGGCGAAAAGTCTATACGTTTCCGGATTAATTAACTTTTTGAAATAACTTTTTGGTAAAACAGAGAAATCTGCGCCGGTGTCTACTAAATATTTGCGATGATTTGATCTATCAGTGACGAAGAGACGGTACAGAAAGTATCAATTTTAAGTCGTTGCATATGGCAAGACCGTCCATGAGCAAATATTAAAACTAGCTTGCAGTGAGGCTGCCACATCATGGCACAGAGTTACGAGAAGGCCATTATACAGCAATTCTAAAAAAGAACGACGGTTTTTATAGAGCAAATGATAGCATAATTTCGAAATGTAGTTGGCCGCGAATAAAGTAGTAAAGATTTATACATTTTGTATTTTTTTTTTTTTTTTTCGAATTGGGGAGCTATTTGTAGCATCACGCGTACGCTTCATCAGTGTTTTGCGCAGACCCAATGGTGTTTTTACATGCAATTTACTATTATTATTATTATACACTATTGCATGGTGCTGTCATTCGATTGCTTGGATTATTCCTCCAATGCAATTGTCGTGACAGTCACAATTCCACCGATACATATATGGCGTTGAGCTCTTTTTTCAAATGGGGGAATGCGAATACCACTGATTTACCGGTATATTCACCAGTAGTTCGGCACTACCTTTTTTGCGGTTTATGTATTGGACATTGATATATCCAAGACATCAACCTAACGCGAAGGCACTCCATTTTTACGTGTGTCTGTGCTGAACCCATATCTTCGCTGTGCACACACACGGGACCGACGGCTTTAAGTGCCCTCCGAAGCACTCCACAAATCCGAGACACGGCCCAAACCTCTCCTCATTAAACCACTGACAATTCCTGAGCGAATCACGGTGGAAAAATACCGGACGAAATTTGACCGAGAATCGAACTCGTGTCCTCACGCTCACAAACCTGGCACGCTAACCACTAGTCTATGGCTGAGTTTTTGTATTACGTCGAAAAGTAATTTTTATGTGTGTGTGAATCAAACAATTTAGGGAATAAGGGTTGATAAATTTCAAGTTCACTACGATAGTCTGCGTTCTGGTGTGATGTTTTTTTGGTGTCTGATAGACGATTGTATACCGTTATATTTGTATAAAGTTTTCCTCAATTTCTATTATTATTTTTGATTCATTCAGTAATCATATAATTATTTTGAGGATTGCTAATCCTTTATCACGCACCAGGCTTTGCCAGGTGTGATTTTTTAGTTACACACCTGGCTCTTTCCCCGCACTGCGGGGTCCGCAGGCCATCGACTGAACTTAGCTAGCTGTATGAATGATGATTGAATGAGTGTTTCGACTGAATTGAATGTGTGTGCATGATTCTTCTTTTGATTTCTGATAGTCCATCTTCAATCAGTTAATTTTGCATGATTTTTCGCGTAGTTTGTCTTTTTTTGCATGACCTATATAATAATTCGAAAAAATCATTTTGGCGGTCAAAAATCGAGAAAAATGAATTTTCAGCGATTTTTTCAAAATGCCACCTGGCGGCCAAATTTTGAAATTTTTTAATTTTTTTTGCGGATTCTTAATTTGGTGCCCAAGCACCACTAAAATATGCAAAAACCTCTTTCCAAAAGTCAGCGGTATCGATTTTCATTTCTTTAACGCAAAATATACATATTTCATATGTATGTTGGTATTGCGTCAATTGGGGGAATGCCGTCCCCCGTAATAATCCAATAATGTTGCCAACCAATTGTCAATTGTACATCCAGAACTGTTGGGCACTGTACATAGTAATGTATATTACTTGTTGATTATTTTACATTACTTTCATTCTTCTCTTTTGTCATTTTCTCCAGGAATTCACATTATAAAACAAATAAAAAAATCAAATTTATTGCAACAATATTGAAGTGCATTTATTAAATAAATTATGAAAAAGCCAAGTGTTAGTTATTTCCCTATCAACAGAGCATTAGATCCTAGCTAAACTAACAAAATTATTCGTCATCATCGTCATCGATACATGTACAGTTGCAAATACATGGTGGCTGTGGCTCACAAGGGCAGTATGGTAGTTCTTCGTCTGGATGCCCAATAGGCGAAGTTGATCCTAAAATAAATGAAGAAAAAAAAATTGTAAATATGATAAAGAATGGCGTTCGCGTATGGATGATTCCCATGTAATTAATTTATTTTCATTTCATCAGTTTACTTAGAATCAGAGTATCACTATTTGCTGCTGCTCAGCATATGGCTGAGAGCTGAGTAATGCTGAACTCGTACGGCTAACGCATACGAAACGGATGCACGATACATATTCCCCTTTCGCTTCGTATGTACTGCCGCTATTATGTGTTGACGCTATTGCCGCTGCTGTTTCACTTACTCGTAAAATACAACGGCATCAACGGTAACACACTATACCAGCGAACATACGAAGTGAAGGAGAATATATGAGAGACTGAGAGCAAAAATAGCACGTCGCATCTCATCTCTTGCTTTGGATGAGAAAAGTTTTTTCGCGAAAATTATTCGAATTTGCTAGGGTTTTTAATTCAAAAAGTAAAGACCTTTTTTTTTAGCTCATCAATGTAGAAAATTGAGGAGAATTCTTTCAATTTGCTAGGGTTTTTGGTTCCGAGAGAATTTTTTTTCGTTTTGCTGGGTTTTTTCGCGGAGAAAATTCTTTCGATTTGCTAGGGATTTTCGCCTTAAAAAGTGACTTCCAAAAAAAAAAAAACGAAAGTTTGTCTGATTTGCTAGAGAATTTATTTTAGGTTTTGAAAAATCTGTGTGTGAAACGTCAGTGTAAATGGGTGAAATACACAACAAACATTTGTGTTTACACTGTTCAATTTCTCTGAGTTCTATTATGAAAATTTGAGAACTTCCAAAAATATCCTTTGAACTTGTGTTCAACCAGCGAGCATCGGCTGTAATAATTAAGAAAATTTATTTGAGAAACTTATACGCTCAAATAGTAAAGGAATGGCCTTGGTTTATAAAAAAATTATTCAATAATTCTATTGGCGAATTCTATTATTAGGCTATTGAATATGAATGAATATCCAAAAAATAACAATTCTTTTAATTACCTTTTTCAATCACACTATCAGCCAATAGACGAATAAAACTAGCAAAAATAGTGTTAACAAAAACTTGAGCTTTGTTATCTTCATTAATATTGAGAAATAGTTGAACTAGGCGATCAGCGATCTTCATTGAATCTTTGTTGGAGCAGAGATCATTAAGATAAGCTGTAAAAAATTGGAAAATTTATTTGAGAAACTTATACCGCTCGAAAAGAAAGGAACAGTATTTGTATATAAAATAAATATTCAATGATTCTGTTAGCGAATACCATGATCTTCAATATGAATGAAAATCCAGATAATCGCAATTCTTTTAATTACTTTCAATTATATTTTTCCAGTTCTCAAGCACAGGACGAAAAAACTCTCCAACAGCATCCTCACCAAGTTGTTTTGAAGATTTATTGGAACGCAATTCGTCAGCAACACATACTCCGGCAATTAGAAGAGCGAAAACACAGAATTTCATTTTAACTTCTAATTTGACGGTTTCAACCAAAGGGTCCAACTGAAGTTGAACATTTAATATTTTTCTGATCAATTCCACTGTCTTTTATAAAAAAAATTATCAAACGAAACCAATGCACAGATTTCAAATGATGTGGCCATAAATAAATAAATGTGATTTAAAATTTGACAAACATATTTTGAGCCGGTGTCGACACTGTCACATATATCGACACTGTCGACAGTCAATGAAAACAATTCTGAAATATATAGTAATTTACAAATGTCTGCGCAAATAATCAGCAATTATTAAATTTTTTAATCTTAGGCAATGGGTTCCTTCCATAAAAAAATATAATCTGTTTGTCTCTCTGTGACACAGAGTCTGTATCCAAAAGATAGATGAACATAAAATAGATTATTTGCAAATCTCCAGATGACGCACATCCAGCACATGCAAGCAATACGGACTGTAATTGCAAATCTTCATCGCGGCAAATTGATCATTATAGATTTACTTTTAGCATTTTTTGTGAAGAAAATATTTTTCTCTATTTGTGTCGATCTTTCAGTTATAAATAAATTTTGTTTTTATCGAAAAAAATTCTCATAGAAATATTGGTTGCGTTCTACTGCAATAAACCTCTTATATTCTTCTTGCAAAATGTAATGCTTATGATGCAAATACACATTTCTAGTGGGAAATAACGAATGATTGATGATTCAGAATAAATTGACATGAATTCAAGAGGATTGGCACATACAAATCTTATATGAAATCATAACAAACATTTCAATTTGCGCTCTCTGTTTTAAGTGGAGATTTGGTTTTATATTTGATTCTAACTATCGGAATCGCTCTGTAATTACAAAATGGATCATGATCCTCTTTTTTGTAGTTCTGTGATTCGAGTGAGCTAGTTTTCATGTTTTTATCTGTTCTAAAAATGAGTAATTTTTTTTAAATCTGTTGACAACTGTCGTTATATCATGTGTTAATTTTATTCGACGTGCAATAGAATAATTTTCTACCAATAAGTCAAGCAATTTCTAATGTCATTTTGGGAATAACTGCAGTAATAAACATGCTTATTGATGTGTCTTCGTTTTTGTATTTGAATTATAAAATTTCCTTTTGGAATGTTTTTGTTATGATATTATTATATGGGGGCCTCATGCTCACTGCATGAAATATACTGCTCTGTTTTTATCGCATGAAATCGTATGCGGTTAAAAGTTCAAGACCACAGAAAATAAATATTTTTTTGTTTCTTCTATGATTTAATTAAGTCGGAAAATAATATATCTCAACGTTAAGTTGAAAATTTAAGAGTTCGTTCTATATATTTACTGAATTACTCACATCTTGTCATATTTTGTTGTTATGAGTAGTTATGAAGTTCCGATTTTTTTTACTTTTGCTTTTGAAATGACATTGATGGCAAAAATTCCGTAGGGGGTCCTTGGAAAAATCCATGGGGGGTCCCTGACGATGTCAACAATTTGTTTTTAATTATATATTTTAGACAATAATTTATATACCCTGCCTAAAGGCAGGGCTATGCACTAGAGGGTTAATGAATCTGAGAACTTTTGGAATAAATGTGAATCTCGGTGAATTTCAGTGAATTTGTATGAATTGTACATGAAAATCCAAGAACCGTCTCAATTTCAAAATTCACCACAAATTCCATCTCAAACAAACTCAAACGTGAATCAACTGAAATTACAAAATAGATCATAATCCTTTTTTTGTAGTTCTGTGATTCAATTCAGATAGTTTTCATGTTTTTATCTGTTCCAAAAAATGAGTCATTTTTTTCAAATCTGTTCACAACGGTATATTGTATAATCGATCAATTTATTTTCTACCAATAAGTCATGCAATTTCTAAAGTGTAGCTGTGATTTTTGGAATAACTGTTTATTGATGTGTCTTCGTTTTTTGTATTTGAATTATAAAGTTTCCTTTTTGTTTTTGGAATGTTTTTGTTATGATGTTATTACGTAGGGCCTCGTGCTTTTTTTTATTACATGCAATATTCTGCTCTGTTTTTATCGCATGAAATCGTCAAAAGTTCAAGACCACAGAAAATAAATATTTTTTTGTTTCTCCTATGATTTAATTGAATCAGAAAATAATATATCTCAACGTTGAGTTGAAAATTTAAGAGTTCGTTTAATATACGAAATAAGTACACAGTACTGAATTAGACACATCTTGTCATATTTTGTTGTTATGAGTAGTTATGAACTTTCGATTTTTTTACTTTTGCTCTTGAAATGACATGTGAGTAATCTTCTCATGTGAATAAAAAGAAATCAGAAAATGGAAATGACGACAGAATGATGATAATGTTATCTCACTGGTTTACAGCTAATTAGAAGAACGTTTCACATTTTGAAAGTACACACATCGCAATATCTAGGGGCACTGAATGTCAAAAAATAAAGATTATTTCTACTTTTATGCAGCTGCTAGTATTTAAAACTCTTGAAATCAGTTCATTATAATTGTCATCTAAATAATAGTCTGTGCAAAGTTTCACGCCATTACGATTTCATACAGGCTTAGCTCCCATACAAAAGTTCATATTTTTGGTGATTTTTTGACATTTTTGTAGGAAAAATGTGTTAACCATTAATCGTATCGCAAAAATAACGCCAGATTCGGTTTTCTCGCACCAAAAAACCCCCCACTACGTATTTTTTTCATAATTTTTTCATAATTTTTTTAGAAAATAGAAATCGTTCAAAATACACCAAAAGGGGTCCATCGAGGTATTTTCCCAATGAATTTGTAGCGCCATGGTTCCCTACTTGAACAAACCAATGGTCCACATCGTGTTTTTAGGCCTCAAATATGCTAAAACCGGCCTGGAATGTTAAAAATTAAATACTTTTTTTTTTGGGCCACCCTAATGCGGACACATATACGGCAAACGAACCATATCTACTACACGGTTTTCGTACGTGCGACCAATACGTCTACACAGATACCGCATCTCGCACGAACGAAAACTGTTTGGTACATATGGTTCGTTTGCCGTATATGTGTCCGCATGTTTCCTTGCTTGCCGCACGATAGGCGACGCAGGCAAGCAAGCTGCTTATAGCAAGCCATTTGACAATCACTGATTTATTTCTAAAATACCAAAATAAATTTCACAAAAACGAAATGTATCAATGTTCCAAAATGTGTCTGATAAATTATTCTGATGGAATTCTCATTCTTATTCTCCAAAGACGCCGTATCAACGCATCAATTCTATTCATTTTCGACTTGATGCAAAATAACGTTCACTGCCCATCACTGAAGACTGAAATTGCCCGCAATCAAAATGGACGTAACTTAAGATGTGTGGAGTACTTCAAAACCAATCACAAGAACTTCAAAATCAATCCATCAGTACCAATCAACCAAATGTGCAAAATGTCAAATAAGGTCCACGAACTATTTTCAACGCAATCAAAAAGATCAACCTTCAAAACTCGACTTTTAGCCTTAAGCGATGACCATTTTTCTAACTTGTCATTGGTGTCTAACTATAACACTGTTTTCTTTAACGATCTAATGTGATTTTTGTAAAGATATTAATTGTTTATTTATCCAATTATTTATCTAATTATTTATTTATTAATTATTTTCTGACTCATTGTAACCGCGTGCAATTTGAAATTTTTTAGTATTTATAAGTGTTTTTTTGCTGTTTGACGGTAATTTTAACAGTTTACTATTAACTATTAGCTATTACTGTAAGAAGTAGCTTATAAGTTATTAGAAATCTTTATTAAAAGATGTGGTTTTTAACGGTGACCAGATGTATACCAAATGTGTATCATTGATTCATACCTTTTTCCCACCAACAAATGTGTAAAAATTATGTACAAACTCAAAAGATTCAGCCATTTTTGGCGGTGAATAAAATATAAGTAAAAAACACTTCTTTGGAAGTTCTCACTGTGACGCAATACTGCACATCAAATCTGAAAATGATCTGATATAAATTTTCAGTGACGCTTGCAATCAAATACACAAACAATTTTTATATTGCGTTGCCTCTCTCATTTTTAGAAAAATAAAAATCTAGGGGCATTTTACTATATGCGAATGCCATTTTATACGGAATATATGAATATTTTCCTATTCATACATGAAATATACGAAGTAAAGTATATTCATCCGCATCAACATCTATGAAAATTTGTACATTTCATTCGCAACCATTCGCGAATGCCGCATACGTCTTGCTAGATGCGACAAACTGTCGTGTGACATTTGTACATACACATTGCTGTGTTCAGTTTGTCGTGGCAGTTTCAAACACAATGTCATTGTTCTCAACTAAATTTGAAAAACAGTTGAAGAAAAAAAATACAAGATAATAATCTTTAGTTGAATATTATTTTAGAAGCCGTATTCGATTCGAAAAGTGAGATTTTAGAAATAAATTCAGATAATATAAAAGAAATTGAAAGTTACGTCAATGAAAATAAAAAACTTTCACAAGGCATACAGTGATTATATTACGAGTGGCAAAGATTTATTTACCATTTTAGAAAAATTTCACTCAATATTACCAAAAAAATATCGATTCGGCTTGAATCTCCGTCACCTAATCTGTCACTTTGACTTTTTGAATGTAAAAATATGACTTTTCATATGCGCCATCCGCAAAATGTGTATGAAACATGCGCCACCATTCGCAAAATTTGTATGAAACATTCGCGACCATTCGTTTCCATTTTCAAAATATATATGAAAAATTCTCTTGCATATGGAACATTCGTAAATATACTGCATACATACATTCAGCTGCATATAGGGGTACATAATTGTACATTTTTCCAAATTAAAAGGAAATATTTTCAATAATGTTATTACTTTTCGTGCTTCTTAGGTGCGACAAAAGTATGCAAAACTCTCATCGACAATGGTGGCAAAGTAAATGCAGAAGATAAACTCAAAAATACACCACTTCACTGGGCTGCTTTCAATGGTAAGTGTACACACTTTCGAGTCATGAAAGTTGATTAACGTTAAAATTGTACGGATGATTTTATTGAAATGTCTTTTCAGGCCACATTGAAATTATTGAATTGTTACGAAAAAAAGGTGCAAATCTTTTTGCTAGAGATGATGATAGAAATGAAACTCCGCGTGAAGTGGCCATTAGAAGAGGTAACTTGACTATACTCTTCAAATCGAAAGTATTTCATTACAGTTTATAATCATATACCATTTCAGGTAGATCGGAAGCAGTTACACTTCTAACGAAATTGGAGAATGCCTAAGGTATGGTACCGACGAAAGCAAACGGTGCTACGGAATATGTTGTATATATAATCAACTAGAAACTCAATAAATTTATAGTTTGGACTTTAGTTTACAAAAATATACGAATTGCAATCCATGAATTCGGCATTCAATCCATATTTTTTCATTCATCCACTCTTTCATTCGTGGAATTTGATACGTGGGAATTAGTTAGTAAGAATTGAAATAAATTCTACAACAAAGGTAGTTTCAATTTGAGACAGTCACCAAGGCAACGTTTTGTTAACTTAAACGAATGTCTTTGTGGATTAAATTATTTACTTTTTCAAGAGTTTACTTTAGAAAACCAAGGCAAGTGAGTAATGGAAATCTGTGCAATTTCAGATATATTCTTAAAATTCACTGAAAGCACTTCATCGACTGGAAGTCTGGGAACGGATATTAATATAAGAAACCGTAATCTGTTTTACATACTAAAACCCGAAATGTTAATTTCATTATGCTGATAATTCTGAATACGATTTGTTGAAAAAGAGTCTAGAAAAAGACGTTAAAAAACAACATTGGAGATTGATTACAATTGCATTTCATTACAATATTGTACATACATTTTTTTATCGTGAATTTTTTTTTTCGTATTTTCATAGACTTGCGTTGATTCAACCTAATATTTGCATATACACACAGACATGAACAATTAACATATATGAGCAGCAGGTCAATGAATATGTCATTCTGATATTCAAAAATCAGTATATTTTCATGAATCAGAAAATGCTGTACAAATTTTTCATCTTAAATTGTTTCTGTATTGCATTTCGTAATACAAAAGTCATCAACACATGCGCAACTATAAAGTTTATACCTTATAGTATAAGCAACATTGACACTTCGGTGTATTTGTGTAGCAAATCTCAGTGTAACTGTCAAATAATACACAAACGTGCGTATTGATGCCTCATACAATTTCTTTCCTTTGTGCGATTTATTCAAATTAAATAAAACGACTTTGCATTTTTTTATGCCAAAAAACTAGGCGAAAATTCAAAATAATAAATTTATTTACATTTAATTTGCTAATTTATTTCACAGCACATTTGTTTCACATTGTTTTCAAATTGTTGGGCTTGTGACATTTGTATTGATAAGTCTTCGCTGCATTTCTGGGTAATGAGTCATAAACGCTGATAATTCTGATGAAATCAAGAACAAAAAAATTCGAATCAAAGTGGACCCACGCCCTTGCTTGTATTTATATGCATTTAAGTTTCAAAGCAGATATTTATGTTCATATATGACGTGTTCATGTAATAAATATGAAATTATCTAATTCTCAGTGACAATATTTCAGAAAATGAATGTAGACGAGCAAAACGTTGTACGAATTCTAAGGTATTATTTCATCCATACTCTCTTTCTACTCCAATAAGCACAAAAAAATAGAAATTAAAATGAAAATAGCTTATGTCGTCATTTCGATTTTTTTTTTGTGTATTTTTAGTGCCAGAAATCATTATCAAACATTGGATGTTGGCCAGAATGCCCCTGCCACCACAATTGAAACATCTTATAAAAGGATCGCATTACTCGTGCATACAGGTGCTCAATTTGGCATTAATTCTATGAAAAATACGTTTGATTTTGATTTCAGTTTTAATTTTAAATGTATTTAGATAAAAACAAAGCACCTAGAGCCAAGGAGGCGATGCAGAAAGTCAATGAAGCAAGGGAGGTTTTAAGTGATCCAGTAAAACGAATAGTTTACGATTACATTCTCTTCGGGAATAATATTGAAGTTAATGATGTGCCTAACCCTGGGCCTAATCAGCACGAATTTGCTGATGATGATGAGTCCAACACATATGAACCTGAAACTGATGGTTCCAAATACGATTTTCCCAACGAACGCAATCGTACACGTTGGTGGGAGGGTCATGTAAATAATTGCAAAGAATAATTGATTGCTATAGAATAAAAACAGCGTATGAAAAGGTTGCATTTCAAAGCGAAACACCGTCATACAAAATACAGCATAAAATGTATGTAAAAACAACCTTTGGTGTGCGACCGTATCATACGCTGTATTTATTCTAGAGAATTCAATTTACATCTTACACTTGAAGATTCGAGCATATTTTTTTCCCTACCATTTACAGATCGGCTTCTACATTATGGTTCTTCTTCCCGTGATTCTATTGATCTTGGTACCGTCGGCAATTTTAAGCTTGGAAGCGTTGTTTACAACACCTCCAGTTTTTAGTTTGACACCAAACTCGTAAATATCCATGAAAATACTTATATTGAAATTCAAAATTTGAACTAATTTTTCTGACTTTCTGACAGCAAATATGTAATTCCCAAACGAACCATGTCACAAAAGATTCCGTATTATGTCACAAAAAATTTTCAAGCCGAATTTAATGTTCATTATAATGGACATCGGAAAAATCTGGAAATAGACGTCAAAAATGAATACAAAACGAAATTGGAGATTGATTGCAATCGAGAATTAAGGCAGAGTACGTTCATTTATGATATGGTTTACCAAGTTGACTATTAAAGGAACTTGTTCAATGTTCATTTTCAGAGGAATACTGGCTTGAAATGGTTAGAAGTTCCAAGGACTTTAAAGAAGCGGAATCAATGAATAAGGTGGCTCAGTCAATAGAAACACTATCATGCCAAAAACTTCAATCACTATTCGACAGCTCACATAAGTCATCACTCTTTTCGTATATTTTCAAGTCTCTCACAAAATATCTTTTACCATAGACATTTTTTTACGATTTTTGCAAGCCAAATACAAAAATTTTCCTTTTAAGACAGTCTAAATTAGACGAAAATAGTATGTTAATTATGATTAAATTTAAAATAAATTGATTTATGAAAATAGAAGTTAGTTTTTGTCATGGGGCGAATCACGCTAGTAAATACTAGAAAAACTAGTAAATCTAGTGCGAATAATGACGTCACAAACGAAGCCAACTTCACACCAAAGGCCATATAAATTATATGAAAAACTACTGAGAGCCAACTTCACGCACTAGAATTTTCTAGTTTTCTAGTGAAATCTTATTAAAAACTAGATACACTAGAATTTCGTGATTGACCCCATGGTTTTTGTCAAACTAAATAAATTTCTTCAAAAAAATCATATGAAAGTAAATTTATTCAGCTTCTTCAATGAAATGACAATTGGTCATGAGAGAAAAACGAAACCCCGAAAGAGTCAGTTGAAGTTGTATATATTGTGTGTTTTATTTAATTTTCATGTATATATGTGTGTATTTTTTTAAAAAAATAAACATTTCCAATATAATAAATGTTTTCGGATGTAACAATTACCGTCTTATATATAACACAGATTAAAATATTCTTGATTATTTCGAATTATTTTTGTAACATCTTTTCAAGTGTACACTTATATGTGTGTTTTTTTTTTCGTTTATTATGTAAGTAATTCGATAAACTCACACATTGCTGGGGCTAAATTTTAAATCAAATGCGGTTCTTATTGATAATAATGTTACTTTATTTTCCATATGGAAACCCTAACTTATTTGTAATCTAGTGATATCGAGAATTCAACAACAAAAAAATGTATGACAAATGTTGGTAATAAATAACTTTTTTTTGTCTTCAAACTTGTCGGTTGAGGATTCGATATCGTTCAACTTTTGGTTTTATTATTATAAACATTGCTCTACGGGCTTATGATCACAATTATTTCAAAAGATCAGAAGAAAAAGCATACAATTTCAATGCTCGATTTATGTCGAATTTGTTACCATCCCATAAAATCGCATTGGTCCAGTTCACAAATGATTAAAAATGTTTTTTTTCTTTTTCGTCAAAATTCCAAATTGAATTCAATGATTATTATTATTGTATATTTTCATAAATTATTAGTGGTAACTGATATATTAAATTAATTCCTATTAAAAAGTTGTAAACTATTTTTATTATATGTGTGTGTGTGTGTCAATCTGTGATTAAGTTTGTATTTCGAGTAATGTTTTATGAAAAATTATAGATTTCTGGTAAAAAATGCGTTCATTTATGAAGAAAAAAATTACATTTCTGATTAAGAGAAAATCCTGCCTCAAAGTGAATTCAATTGGTATTAGAGTATTTACTAAATTATCAGCAACTCTTCTATAAATTGTCTATCGGTCAAGATCATTTGTTTTTCTTATTTTTTATTTTGGTAACGAAATGAATAATAGGCTTTTTCTAATGCTCCTCTACTAGTGTTTTTTATCAAATTATATTCGGTATTTAAGGTCGGACCGTTTGCACAAAATATACGGAAAGAATCCATTCAACAAATCGGTACAAAATATTAAATTGCGAATGCAAAACACTTTGTCACCACAAAGTATTTGAGTGTATCTTACATTATGATGATTTATGATAGTATGATGATATCTATCCGGTGTTGTTCAACGGTCGACTGATATTGTTGGCGTGTGTCATATTTCTTATCTCCCATCTAATTGAAACCAAAAGAACAAAAACATTTTAAAAACCTGCACAAATGTGGCAATACAATTTAATACAAAGTGTTGCAAATCTGAAGGGTTTGTTTTCTTTGAATTTTATGAGTCGCAGTTAATATATGGCTTGCATTGAACTTGTATTATTCCAAAGTGTTGACAAATTATTATTCGAACTCACCTGATATCAAACGGCAAATAAGATTGATCCAAATCGTTTTCAATGACTGACATGAGACACATTGTTTTTAGATTCGGCTCGAAATCCAACACATGTGTATCACTGTAATCGAATAACTTTTGGCCGTGACCACCGCGCATTGTATTATTTTCAGATGGACTGAAAAAATATCGAAATAAAAAACTTTGTTAGATACAAGGTGTTAATTATGACGTCGTCTATGATTTCATGGGTGGGACATAATGGAGATGAATCCAAAATTACCTAGTTCCTCCGAATAAATATAATCGTTTATCAATAACCAAACACACTTGACGCCTACGTGGTTTCGGTACGATGCCTCTGGTTGCGATCATACTCCATCGATTCTTTTCCGGATCGAAGCAATACAAATCGTTGAAATGTTGATCGTTGATACCGTTATATCCGCCAAAAATGTACAGTAAATTCTTATACACAAAAGCCGAATGGCTTCGCCTTCCGATCGGTACAGCACCGGTTATATTTGGATGTATCCTGAAAATTGAAAGCAAATGTTAAAACAATGCTTGCAATTTTATGATCTGATTGATTTTCTTACCATTCTCGTGTCCTCAAATCCAAATAAACAATTTGCGAACAATAAATTTCTTCTTGTGAATGATATGGACTGTGTGTATCGCCTCGTCCGCCAAAGATATACATGCGATCATTCAAAATGGTGGCAGTGTGAAAGTCACGATAGCTTGGTGGTTGACCAGTCGTTCGAATATAGGACCAATGCATCGTTTTCAAATTTAATTTATGCACATCGCACGAAAATTGATTGATTTCCTCTTCGAAACCGCCAAAAATGTACATAAAATGATCAATGATGCAAGCACTGTGTCCATCACGAACACCAGGAATATCGCCAGTCACCTCTGGCTTTGACCATCGCAATGTTAGTGTGTCAAAACAAAACAAGATATTACAACCAGTTTCATCATTTCGTCCGCCCCACATATAAACTTTGTGCTCGTATGCAACCGACGTATGGCCATATCGTTGAAATGGTACTTCTGGATATTGTAGCAACAAACCGTGTTCATTTTTTCGCTGTGGCACCTGTGACCATCGCAAATTTTGTGTATTCAATACGTGCACATCAATTGTATTCAACGATCGATAGTCTTCGTTGCTACAATAGCCACCAAAACTGTAAATAAAATCACCAATCGCCACAGCCGTATGATTGACCCGACGTGGTCCACCCTCAATGTGTGCCAGCCAATACATTTTCGTATCAAATGCTGTTTTTTTATTCAAGATCACTTTTTTTTTATGAAAAAAACGTTTTTAATCCGCAAACAAAAGCTACTTAATTTCTTATCATATTATGAAAAAAAAAAAAAAATGTTGAAATTTCACATTTCCCGAATGCATACGTCTATATTAAGAAATGATAAGTTTTGATGAAAAATTGTTGCACAAACAGGTTTCAGAACAAACAAAAATATATAAATGTTCAAGAGTAGGTTGTTTTTCGTTTTTATCCGGCGATGTGTTTACTCGCAACGAAATTCCGTTATAAAAATAGACGCTGACACAAGTGTTCTGCAAAAATGTACATATTATTCACAACAGCTCCAGCTCTGATTGTCGACAAACCCAATGGAAAGTACGAAATACAAATCACTTCAATTCACTTGCTATTTTGTAACTAATGAACCAGCCAGTGACGCACTATGTACATTTCAATGTTGCACATTTGTTCCGATTCAAACAACAGCTTTTTGTGATGCAAAGGTGTTAATTTGTGTCAATATTTTTTTTGCAGCTTCTATTTCGCGATGTTTACAGTTTCAGTGCGCCAACACAATCTGTTGAATGTCTATGCGAATAAAAGTTAATTATGCCTTCAATCTCACGTAAATCGCAAAGAGATTGTGTTTTTTTTTCGTTAATGAATCGTATGGTTATGTCACCACAGACACAAACGGTTTGCTGTATAAGCTTCAACAATGTTTCACTCACTTAAATCATCAGAGAAAAGCTACTTTGTATGTCACATGGAACTATTTCATTTTATTGTTGATCAACTGGCATTTATAGTGTTTTTTTTTTTTAATAAGTCAACCGATGGCACCAAAACTGGCCAGAATAAACGACTCGGAAGCGATTGTGTTTTTTTTCGCTGTCTTTTAGAATGCGCTCTTTCACTTGTATTATGCACCCAATGGTGGAAGTGATATTTTATCGCTTCGATGCGCACCCATTTTTTATTGTGTTCTGATTATTATTATTCGTTCACCGGACGTTTTATATCGCATGTATGAAATTGTTTAACATGTACATAGAACCGAAAATAATCTGTTATTCTTTTGCACACATGAGATCAAAATAAAGCAATTGCAGACGGAATTGAAACCTTTTAATTACTTTGACAATGTTCTAAAATTTTTTTTTCTTTTTACAAAATACAATTTTGTGTTTGTGTTTTTTTACGGCGGTTGTGATTGAACTGTTGTAATAATTTTTGTTTTTACAGCTTTTTTGTCGGTATTTATTTTGATGAAAAATATATTTGTTTAAACGCAGTGTCGATGGATACTTTGTTTCTTCTCTGTGTCGTCTTCGATCATCGATAAATGGCACACACCACATCAAAACAAAAAAAAAGTTCAATATGTAGTTGTGTGTTGACAGTCACGGATTCTTTAAATGCTTTTTATTCCATCAATTGACAGCATTTTGATGTTTTTGTGGTGCCAGATGCGCAATCTATTACGTTTTATATGTCACTTTTCATCATGTGAAGAACTTTGCCCGATGGAGGAATTATGCATCCATTGTTTATAATGGTAAATGGAGGCACCGAGCAAAAGTTCTTTTTATCAATTTTTCATATACTATGTAATGTTATTCGCTATTATGTTGAAATTCTATTTGTTTTGGGTTTTTGGCGGAATTTAATGAAAAAAATTTTTTAACCGGTGCATGAAGCATGAACATTTCCAATTTAACTTTTTTTCATTTTGGAAAGTATTGAAGTGTCAGTTGGAAATCCGGGTATAGTATTTTTCTTCAAACTGAATTTGCGCAATTGAATGAGTCATCATGAGGAAATAAATCATAGCCTATGCAGATCTTATGATGACCTAAATATACATAATTTGGTCATCTTAGACATCTGAATCGGAAATAATTCGCGGAAAGAACATGAGTTAGTATTTCTTCGAATTTTTTGTTTTGCCCTTGATGGGCTTATTAAGTGAGCATGAAAACGGCGCTAAGCATTACTCATAACTTTAAATTCATAAATTCAGCTTCACACACTTCAAATCGATTGTTATGTTATTTTATTCGATCATTGATAATAAAAATCGTTTTTTTTGGTAGCAGCTTAGATAACGTTGAAATGTACATTGTTTACGCTCTTGCATTATACACACCGAACGATTTGCCATCATTGTCTCACTGATTCATAGAGAAGTTATAATTACACACGCGCTGAGTCATAGAATTGAGTAGTCGGGTACGGTTCATTCATGGAATCGTGCGTTAGCGCGCGCGCACACACACACGTTCGATCGCAAGTTGTAAAAGTATCTCATTGTTGTTATTGACATTTGTCAATTTCATTTTTAACGTACATCAATGAATTGAACTTGCGATCTCTTAACGACGAACCGCTTATGTTTTCCGCCAATTTTGGACGGTTTGTATGACACACCGATTGATCTCTTTTTGTGTCTGTTGTCATCCAAATTATGCAATGTGAAACAGGTATTCGCGAATTCTTCCTGAATGTATTTTCCCAAACCAAACTACTTTCAATGATGAATACCTTCGATGAATGACTTTTTAATGCAACAGCCCAGTCGAACGATCAACGCGGATCTTTTTCGAAAGAGTTAGATTGCAATAGATATATCATACGATATTTATCTCCTGTTCAAAACAGGTGATCATTTCATTTCTCTCTTCAAACGTCTTTTAATAAACGTTTCGCATACAAATCACAACTATACACACACTATTTATTTGTTTTAATGGGAAATTCCCTGCCAAAAGATCGTTGTGTATGTGTTTGCGACCGCTTCCCCGTTCAGCGTTGTGATCGCGAAAGAGTACACACCGATATCTCTCGACGCTAGTGTGTGTATGCTGCGAAGAGATGATCAACGGGTCTGCGTGTGAATTCAATTTCATTCATATCGTGGCAGCGCTCACACACATATCATAACGATGTGATTTCGAATGCGAATGACGGTTAAATATTAACATTTCGGTGTCAGTCACAAATTGATTTTTGTTGATCGCGAATGTCTATTGCAATGGATTACATTGCTCGATTCGTTTCGTTTTGGGTAAATCCTTTTCGCTAATTATACACCAAGTGTAGATCATTGTTTAGAATTTTAATTGACTTATAGTTGTGTACGTGATTTGTGGCACGTATCAAATTTAAGGATTAAATCCAATCATACGTATGTCAATTTTTACTTACGTATTCTTTAGTTAGTGATATAAAATTATCGGCTGTGCTGTGTTAAATTCTGATGTGAATATTAAATGTTTTGTAGAAAAACCAAGAGTTACAATCAAAACAACAAAATATAAAAAAGCAACACGTGAAAGAAATCGAAAGCAAACCATTTTAAGTGTTCTTGAATATTGGTGTACACAATTGAACAATACAAGAAATATTCATACCAAAAAAAAAACTGACACAAAGCAAATAATAAAAACTCGAAAAGCTTTATTAGTAATACAATTTTCGTGGAATTAAAATTACTCTTTTCAACGACTAGATGATTCGCAGTTGATCTTTTTGTAAATGAATAATTCACAAAACACGAATGTCACTGTCGGCACATCATCTCTAAATTTTGACAAGTTTTTCGCGAAATTTTTTACGTGTTTTTCGTGAATTTTGCAAAAAAAAATAATGATAGTGATTCATATTGTTGTGAGATTCGAATTTCTAAATTAAATCATCTCATCAATTGTAAAAAGATTGAAAAACAACTACAGTTCAACAATAAAAAATGATGCAGTAGTTTCGACAAAAAAGAATTTCCGAATTTTTAAGTTACTCATAAATTGATGAATTGAATGAAAAGTGAATTGATCGTGATTCACTTTTTGAATCGTTATAATAAAAGACAAGTAACAATGCAAAATGCACTTTGGTGATAAACCGACTGATGTGCAGAGTAAAGAAATACGTGAGAAGACTGAGAATTCGAACACAAATGAAAATACAAGTAAAAATGAAAATGCATCAGAAATGGACTGCAATCAATCACCACGCTCTTCGACATCTATGGAATTCGCCGGGTTTTCAGTTCCATCGCAATCGAACGAAGACAGTGACGATTCGGCGGACGAACAAGAGGTGAATCTACCAGCAGGTGTGTGTTTGTTTAATTTACAGTAAATAATTTTTTTTATTTCGCGAGATAAATTTATGTCGTCTTCAATTTACTGATTATAACGCATCGTTATGAATAATCATACTTTTTTGGATTAAACAAATAAGGCTTAAGCTTCAGAACAGATTTATTTTATCTATTTGAGTTTGAAAAGAAAACAATGAGAATCCATTTTATAAAGGCTGGTTTTTTATCTATTAGTTGCACTTTGCAGGAGAATGCAGAGCTGTTATGATGCAGGAAAAGTATGGGCACCAGTGAGTGTCTGCAATTGTTCCATATGATTTTTAAGTGCTAAAAAAAGTGCTTTTATTTTTTGTGTATTAATTTATTTCGTGATGGATAAGAATAATGAGAAAAAGGAAATTATTCTTAAAAAAATTCAATTTTCCAATAAGACGTATTGTTCTGCTGAAAATCATGCTGTAACATAAATAATAAAGTGAGCATGGTAAAAAATAATTTGAATGATTTAAAACATCATATCCGTTAAATAACACTTCTAAGTTTTTATCTTTATTCTTCGAATTTTACTCTCAATTCACTTTCCGGCAAAATACCATTTTCTCAAAAATATATTCCTGTAAATGATAATAAGCCTGTTAGATTGGAGTTAGTGACAAAAGTGTTATCATAAAAGTATTGAAATCCTAGTATATAATTTTATTTTCTTTGTGTTAATACGAATTTCGAAATTTTTGCGTTGTTTGTTTTTCTATGCAGATCCAACCCATTGGGACGCTGGAAATATAAAAGTATGGTTGAAATGGATGACCAAAAAATTTAAAATCGAACCACCCCCGGTTCGGTCGCGTTTTCCAAAAACTGGCAAAGAATTATTGGAGCTAAGTAAGGCTGATTTCTGGGTTTGTGCTGGATCAGAGTATGGTGGTAAAAAACTGGCGAAATTCATTGCTTGGAAACTAACCGATGCTACTGGTCGATCGATACCATCTCTACAAAACGACACCGAACCCCGTAAGCAAACAGAAAATTAATCGACTTTACTCTACAGTATTTATCGTATGGTAGTTACGTAGTTGATTTTTGTTAGAAAAAAGAGAGTCATTTTCTAATCAATTGACCGATAAGACCCGCTCATAAATACATCGAATGACCAACGTGTAAAAATAAATGGCAAACAATTGACTTTCACCCTTTTTTCTTTCTGTTTCTCATTCCGTCTGGTCGTATATCCAAGTGAAAACACTCCGTCGGGAATTCAAAATGCATTTATCTCTTTTATTGTAGCTACCGGTCAAGATCATTCGATATTGGCCGTTAATGAGTACGTTGAATTGGCCAAACACATAACTTTGATTTTGTATTTGTTCTTCGGATTAAATTTCGAGGAGATAAATAGTTTGCCATTAAGTTGTTCGCCGTTTTTGCAATGGATTCCGCGTATTTATCATTTTGTAACTCATTTCATCGGCACACTTTGTTTCGATTGAATTGAATTAAGATAAAAATCGTCCTTTTCTCGTATTTTACGCATTTTCTGCACGAAAATGCAGTCAATCATCGTCGTTTAAGCCGAATTTCCAGAAATGAATGCAGTTTCTTCTCTCAATCATTTCTCAATAATATCAAATTAAATGTAAAGTAGACAAAAGCAAAATATTCTAAGAAAATCAACAAATAACCGAATCAAATGTGACGATATCAATGTTAAATGGAATCCTGCGGTTTCTGCATAAACCATTCTCTCTTCGTCGCTCTTTCTCTATACACTTTTTTTTTAATAAATCGGCCTCGGCACATGCACTGGATGATGGTATTTCGTGCGAGTGTAAGCCTTAAACAAATACAGTCTTCCCCTTTTTTCATTCGGTATGTATGTGCTGCATTTGTGTGTAACATAGATTCTCTGCGTTTGCCGTTCGCACAGCGGAGCACAACAACACGGTTTTTTACACCGTCGTTTGATATATTCTCATTTGAACACAGAACCGTGTGATAAAAATGAGCGTGTGAAAGGGACCGCACGAAAATGGGAGTTAACCTTTCAAGTTTATGTGTGTCTTTTTGGTTTGTCTCTCAATACACTATCCGTGCACCAGTTTCAAAAGAAATAAAAACCAAACAAAATGTACTAGAAACAAAAGATTCACAAGTAAATTCACGAAAGTATATGTTTAAGAGAGAGAGAACGAGAGTTAGAGAAGGAAGCAAGAAATACTGAACGGAGGGAGATGGAACCGAGTGCTGATGATCCGGGACCAAAAGATTACCTTATAATAAAATGATGAGCATTTGATTATCATATTTATACAATTTCTTAAAACCTCCGACCGAGAAAAGTGAAAATAGGGAAAAATGATTACCATCGTATTATTGGGGGTGGTTTTTTATTTGCTTCAATGAGTTGTCGTTCATGCTGACCTCTTGACTTGAAAGTAGGAAACACTTATCAAAATTGTGCAATAAAATGTATAAGTAAAACAGAAGATTTCTTGGAATCAAATGTCAAGGAAGTCAACTAATTTCGGATGCTTTTAAGCGTTTTCAAATAGAAACCTCTTGTTTAGAAACCACATTGACGTAAACAAACTATCATTGGATTCTAATGAATCACTTTACACCAAGTTGAACCACGACTTGATAGAAGTGGCATCGTGATACTCGTGCATACGAATTGTGATTAGCATTTTATAAGCATAAATGAATGTTTTTGGCAATTTACGGCTTTTTCTTTAAAAAAAAGGGAAAAAAAAATAAAATTCCAAAATTTTGCGAAAGATTTTTTGCAAAATGGAAACATTTAACATTTAAACACTCTTCCCAGTCCACTCATGAACGAAAATTGTGTATTTGAAAAGAAAACACATTACAATCGCATCATCAAATTCATTCACACATCCTTCCTTCCTTCCTTCCTTCCTATCCATTTTCACTAAAAAAAAAAACATTTGTCATTTGATGTTTTTATTGGATTTTGTAATTCGCTTCCTAGCGATTCTTATTGATGATTTTCTCTTTGTGAATGCATCGCGAATGATAAAGTAATGCTCCAAGCGAATAATAATGCTTCAGTCGATCGCCCACTGTGAAGGATTTAGCCATTCACGACACAAAGTCATTTACCGTGTGTCGTTCTATCTCTCTCTCATAATGTGGCACATTACAATGGCACATCTCGGAAGAGCCTTTCATTCGAAATTTATTTGCGCATCCGAGACGGAACGTACCAAAGGAAACCAATGCTCGACGCTTATGTCCTTTTTTGCGTATGTTTGGACGCATCTTGATTTGCATACTTGATGAAAATTGACAAAATCACACAACAGGGTGCTTATTACTATACTGCACACGTGTCACACAAGCTCGATTCTGTTTTTAATTAACTGATTAATGGCCAGTACTGCCACGAAGTAATTTCGTTTCCTTGAACTATTAAATTGACGCATTAAAAACAACTAAAGTCACACTCTGCTGTAAGTTTAAGCTCGAGGTTAATGAAAGAGCAAATATGTGAAATGCAAAGGAATGTGTGTGTGAGTCCTTGACGAAAACCATAATAAAACCAAATCCATTTTTCATTGGAATTGTTTTAAAGCCGAGATTTTGTATTAAAGTTTATTTCACATATTTTACCACTTGCTGTGAATTTTTCTCCACTTTACTTCGTTCGAAACATGCAACGAAAACCGCTATAAATGTTTTACATTGTAACACTATGTGCATCTGAGTTATCATCACAATCAGGAGGGTGGATGAAGCGTGAAAAAGCAAAAATCGAGTGTAAGCGACGCAAAGTTCTCCATTTGCCACTGGATATGCGTTTGCGGGCTATCAAAACACTTTCACGTACACTCAATCCACAAGCCAACGATAACATTTACCAATGAACCGTTCAAGTAACCACACCGTTTATTCAAAAGCAAACAAAAAAGAGCATTTCATTTGATTTAAAGGAAAAATTTGATTTTTTACTGTAATTTCTTAAAAAAATACCGTGCTTTTAGAAAGAAATTAACTTTAAAAAAAATATTGGCTGAATGTGAAAAAAAGTGTCAAGGTGGCATAAATTTTTTGGGAAAGAAGAAAAGTCAACCACTTTTCAACTCATTTTGAGTTTTTTCTTTCGAGAAATAAAGGATTTTAACTCTTCAATCGGGAAACTTTGCTTTTTGAAAAGAACAATTTAAAGAAATAATACGAATAACAAAAAAGAAAAAAGTTTTAAATAAAAAAAAAGTTTGAGGAAATCTGTTCTATCGTTAATTCGAATAAAAACGTCCGAATAAATGTTGAATAATTATGAAATGAGTAGTGTATGCGTTGACACGGGCGTGATGTGGCGTTTGTCCGAGGATTTCAATCGACGATTTGCAGCTCGTGTTCATCAACAGTCGCATCATGTACACTCACATCATCATCGGCCATCAGCTAGTATGGCTATGATTTACAATGGTATTTTTACATCACATAGAACTTAGTCATTTGGGTTTTTTCGAGGATTTTATTCACTTTTTTTATGCATCAAATTATTTTAAAATAATGAAACGGTTGTTTTGGCGCCATTGCAAGATAACGATGTTAAATTCTATTTTTAACGAAATTTAAAAAAAATATATATTTTTCTGAAGTCGCATTTGGGTTATTTTATGTGTACACTGCTAAAAATGTGAAAATTCCACAACAAATTAAAAGTCACAATTTTGATGAAATAAAATCGGCACAAGAATGTGTCGGTCGTTTTTTTCTTCTATCGGATCAGATCCAATGTCAACCAACCAAACCGATGAGTAATTGGCGCCAATGTTATTTTTAGTTCAATTACGAAGTGTTCGCGGGGAATTCGTAGAATTAAAGAATAGTCATTGATTTGTTTTTATCTTCTTGTGCAAAATATGATATTTTCAGTGTACATCTGTGCCAATGCGCTATTTTCATTGTGTATTTAAACAGCTGATAATAATCAGCGTTTTAACATTGGCTTGAAAATATTGTACGCAATTGTTTCAATTAAATTACCAAAAAAACTGCATAATAGAAAAACATCACCATTTCTGAGAATTCTCGTTTTGCATATCGTTCACATTGGATGATGTGTTTAAAACCTCAATCAATTTGTTTCGTGTTGGTCGATGAAATTAATCACCTAATGCCATTTCAAAACCGAAATGTCGTCCTTCAAAAATTTTTTTATTGTAATATCATTAAAGTAAAACCAAGAACGAAATAAAACTCCCCTGCTTAAAAGCTCACTTTAGCGAATAAACAGCGAGATTTATTGAGAAAAAAAAATGTATTGTTGGTTTGTGGTGCGTTCCCTTTTTCTCTTACTAAAAACATGGTATGTTCGCTTTAAATCCACAGATCCTTATCAATTGTTGAACGCAGCATCGCACAGATTGGTGTCGCAAGGGTCGGGTCAAATTCAGCTATGGCAATTTTTGCTCGAGCTGCTAGCTGATTCGTCGAATGCCGAATTTATCGTGTGGGAGGGTACAAATGGTGAATTCAAGCTCATCGATCCAGATGAAGTGGCGCGCCGTTGGGGCGAACGAAAAGCTAAACCGAACATGAACTACGACAAGCTCAGTCGAGCGCTCAGGTAAATTAAATTATTATTAGTTTGAATGGTTGTTGTTGTTGGTTTTTGCGGTTTTATATCATTTTTTTGTTTCGTGTGTAAATTGATGATATTTATCGTTCGCCTTTCTATCCGTGTTCGATAAAAATCATGTTTCTTCTTACGTCTCTTTTTAAAAGTCATACAATTTCAATTTTGAATCATGATTATTTATCCGGTTTGCTGTGTGTGCGATGGTGGTCATTTTTCGCGCCGATTTCTTTTGTTTCTTTTTTTCGTCGTTTTTTTTTGTTTTGATTCTTTCGCAATTCTGCGGAAAGTGTAAAGTGCAAAACGGTGCGCGAACAACATTCATTCATAAATACAACATCTAAATGGTTTGTGCGTTTCTTTATAATCGTATTATCACTTCGTTGGTGTTTTTGCCGCTTAAAATCACATCGCTTTAATGGAAATATAAAAATGTTTCGTTTGCCACTGCCGCCAATGTCGTTTTGGATTCGCAGATTTGTCAATAGGTTTAAAGGCGCCGAAGAAGCTTTATTTAAATGAAAATTATTCATTTCTACGAAAACATTAATATTGTGCTTTTGGTGAATGCTTTTTTCAAGGCAATAAATTTAAATGGGAACAACTATCTCTGAATCGATTGCTTTCCACTCATTCAATCAAACCTTTTTCATGTTTTTTTTTCTCTCTTACAAATTAATTGAAGTCGTTGATGTGTTTCGTTTCGCATAACGCTCTCGCACACGGCCACCATATTAAGGCAGATGACTCACTGTCAATGAATCAGTGTTACAATTGTATGGATACCGTTTTTTTAATTGAAACACATGAAATCATAATGACCGTGTATCTAACTATGCCGTCGGCCAAATATATATCTTTGCTAAAAAAAATTATGCGAGAATGAATGTTGTCGGTGGTACCGCGATGGTACCAAAACGAATCGTGAGAAATTCTGTGAAACGAAAGAGTGTGCGACGCAACGAAAAAGAAGAAAAAGAAGAAAAAAACAATGTAGTTCACAGAAATATTGACCATAACACGCAGCATCACTATTACCTAACTGGCTTTTGTTCTTCGTTTTTCTTCGTCGTCTTTTTCGTCTTTATATGTGTGTATTCATTTGTTGGCTGTCACTTGATTCATGTTGCACAGAAAGACAGCGAGATTCCAACGATACGCAAATCGGAAGTATATGCTTGAGATATTTCGTTGGTATTCGAATGAATCATCGATTAAGCATGCGGTCTTTAGCAAATTATCATATTTTGCTTTGATTCCTCCCATTCACCACTTGCCATTACACACGCTTTTGAAGGAGAAATTCATAAAACACACATGTAGTGAGAAAAACTATTGAGAGATTGATAAAAAAGGAGCGTTCTCATTATGGAACGTGTCGATGTTTCATCGTTTTTTTAATGGTGATGTCTCATCTCTTGCTCGTTGATTCATAAATTATTTGGTCAAGATGTGTGTTCGCGTTCTCGTCGTTAAATATGGCTTTCTGTGTGTTCAATTTACATATTTGTCTTTAATTTATTTTCTTTCGACTAATTGGTCAATCTTAAACGATAAAATGTGTGTGTTATTTGATTAATTCATTTTCACAGGTACTATTACGATAAGAATATTATGACCAAAGTGCATGGCAAACGGTATGCGTACAAATTTGATTTTCATGGACTGATGGCAGCATGCCAGCAACAGGCTCAAGGTGGTGATCCAACTGCAAGTATGTTGCAAGCAGCAAATTATGGTCGTAGCCTTTCGGCCGATTCCATTCAAAGTCCAACGACAATATATCCAACAACCATACAAATTCCATTGATACCGCCAATGACAACAGCTATATCGACGCCAAGCATTTTAACGACACAAACAACATCGGTCACACCATCAATAATCCGACCATCGGCATCAAATGCTTCAACATCGACCATTTTTTCGCCACCCTATTATTGTCCACCGTACAATTAATTGCGGTCATTTAAACACCGTCGTTATATTTCCTTAAAGGGATTCTCACTCGTAGGTGGCCACTGCCACATTTGGAGAGTTTTACTCTGGACCCTTTTCACATACACTCACCCACACTCACATAAAACATAAGTATTCACTTTATTAATAATAGGTCATTTGTGATGTAATTTTATTACGTAATTCAACAGAAAAGGATTTACAAAACAAAACAGTACTTTGACCGGAACACCACTGATTATGTTGTGAATGTGTATTATAACATTCGTTAATAAAATGGTATTATTACAAGTAATTTTAGGCTTGATTCAGCAAAACAAATGAAAACACCAAATAAAAAGTTTTATAATTCATTTCACAAAATTCTTTTGTTTTGCCGACGGCACACAACAAATTTGTCCAAAGTATAAATTTATTTCTTCTAAGTTAGACTTTTTAATATTAATTCCCTAGACATTTTTATGTACAAATTTATTTGAAAATTGTTACAAAATTCAATCGAAAATGTTCGTTTATTGTTTTTTTTTCTTCATTTTGTTTTGTTTATTTGCTTGCAAATCACATTTTTATTTGTATGGATTCGATGATTATTGTAAATAGATAAATGTCGTTTAGATTTAGAAATACAAAGAGCAGAGAAAATGTAAATAAAAACATGTTCACTTGCAATTCACTAGTACTCATTGTTTGTTTTATTTCATGAAAATAAGCAGTTAATAGACATGTGACACATTGTGCCATTTCCGCTTTTTACATTTGTTTAGATTCAATCAATTAGATCAAGACAAATCAAATGGAGTAAGCAATACCGAAAATTATGAATAGAAACAAATATAAGATGAAAGCGATTCGATCAATGGCCGTAGCCAATTTCACGTAATCATTTTTCAATGAATTTTTTCCACGGCGACATTGCTGAATTATTTGTTGTTCGTCGTTAGTTGCCTCTTCAAATGGATGCTCGCGGAGTTCAGATGAACGGGACTGCTGATCGTTCTGAAAAAAAAAAAAAAACATTTTTTTTTATTTTTCACAGACACAAAAATAAAAAAACGACAAGTAAAAGAAAACCTCTGTATCGTTAACATGATCGAGCAGCAGAAAATCGCCCAGTTTTCCATCCAGTTGCTTCTTAATGATCCATGGCAAAACTTTTTGGTGTTTCAGTCTCGTTAAATTTATAACAATCACTGAAATCAGCATTGAAAAGCACACCATATACAATGCATGACTGTAGAATAAAACTAAACAAAAATACAAATTTCACTAAGCATTGGAAAGATGACAACGAAAATACAAAATATGAATATTGAATAAGTTCAGTTCCTTATTGTTATTTTTATCCAGTTACGTACCAATGAGCGGTGTATGCGAAGCCATGACATTCAATTTTTGTGAAAAATACAGTAAGAAGAGAACAATTATCAAAGCGGTGATGCCGTTCAATAGAATTTTCTCGCCATATTGAGCGGGTAGCCAAAATGTGAGTAAGGTAAGTAAAATCACAATAAATGCTGGTGCGATTATTACGCTATGATAAATCGATGAGCGTCGAGAAATTGCAATGTAGTAACGAATCTCAACGTAAGGAATGTCAACGGATGGAACGTCCATATCGACGTGCGATTCTGACACTGAATATACTGTTTCACTTCGGACGAGTTGTACATTTGTTATTTCCCATTCGGTATTTTCCACATAAAGTTCAAGATGCGAATCGTTTGTTTCTTTTTGTACTATGTCAATTTCATGGCCGTCATACATCCATGAGCCAAATGCCAAAGTGCATTGATGAGTATCGAATGGCCAATCGCGCAAATTTGAATCACAAAGTACTTTAAAGGTAGCAGGCGGTATCCAGACTACTTTTCCTAAAAAGTTTAAAATGATAGAAAGTCATTGAAAGTCAAACTAAACCAATTACTTTACCATTTGATTCTACCACAAAATTTGCCTGTCCAAAAAAATCATTTTGAGGTGATACAGAGTTATAGAGCGTGATATCGGGCTGCCAAACTTCATGCTGCGCAAGGGCAAGTCTTAAAAAATGACAGAGAAAAAATATCTTCTAAACGAAATGAGAAAAAATAAGGATGAGTTATTTTACTTGCTCAAATTGCCATATTGGGTTTTGTTCCATTTCAGTTTTTCATCGTTCCAATCCTACACCGAAATGGGATAAATGAAAATATCACGAAAATTCAAAGAATAGATTGCAATGAAATTAATTTTAGGACAGATTTTTCCAGAGACTTTTTCTCAGAGCAGAGTATGTGAAAGGCGGAGCGGGAAGAGCACCATGGAATAATGCAGTTTTAATTAATTATTTCAACTTTTAATACTTTGCTCTTCACTGCTCTGCTCCCCGGTACTCCACCACCTACTCCGAGAAACAGTGTCTGGATATTTCGATAATTTACCATAAAAAACCACGAATAAACGGTGAAGATTGATGTTTTCTCATCGAAATCGACATGCTTGATTTTCATGTCAAGTGTCACTATTGCGGTGTTTTAAATATGAGAGTGAGAAAAGAACAGAGTTAAAAATACAATCGGACCAGTCCAAAGTCAAAAATTACCTTTTGTCGTGTTATAGTGCTGCGTCGGTCTTGCAAATTTGTCGTACGACATTAAAAGGTCACGTTTCAATGCATCCGCATATGTTTCATTCCATATCGGTTTATTGGCTATAAAGTAAAAACAAATTAATCTATTTTTTGTAATATTTTTTTATGTCGTATAACTTTTCTTTCATCTAGTTTTCCATTATTATCATCAACTATTCAACAAAATAAAATTAATAAAAACGAAAATATACATCCACTGACAACAGTCGGAATGAAAATGGAAATATAAAAAAATTACACAAAGTGTGTTTTAGCCTACGAGATTTGCAATGAGATCGCTTTTAATAAAATTAACTCTTATACACATGGACTTGATAACATCCAATGATTTGATGTACATATTTTAATGCGAACAATAGCATTTTATGACATGCCTGCATAGATGGGCAAGCAGTGGGGATGGGGGTAATTACGATTTATTTATACACCAGAAGCTATGTTTACCCCCTTACAATTTTTTGGAACACCCCCTTAAAAAATTGAAGATATTTTCATTAATCCTCATGGGTCACCCCCGCCTTTTTCGGCACAAATACTTAAGTTTTATACTTTTCAATTGAATGCATCAGGGTCAATTTACCATGCATGACCCTTGTGAAAATAGAATGCTATTGCTAAATTCCCAAGCGATAGTGTTTGCCCATCGCTAAAATGATAATTTAATCAGTATTCATGTATAAATTGTAATCGACTGGTAAGAAACCATTTAACACAGTGGATTAATTTAAAACATGTTTTAACTTTGACTACAATTAAATAAAATCAGTCATTTTCGTGAAACAGGTCACTAGTCAAACTTTTTTCATGAGGGAATGCTTCTCAATAGATGCGCACACATTGGAACGTGTAGAACCGGAAACATTGATTATTTTATTAAAGACACGTCTCAAATAGAGTCCACTTATTTTTAGATTTAGAAAAATACACATAAATCTAATCTTTGCTAACTGTGAACGAATCTTTGGAACATTTCGTCTTCATTTTACCTCTTCGATTGGGGTCGCTGCCACCATCTTCCATGCAAATTATAAATTGTATACCAATGAAAATGCCAATCAATAATAAATAATATTTCATTTTTGAAAAATGTTGAAACACAACAAAATTCTCCGGAATTAGCACATCAAACAAAAGAAATGTTTGTCGAGACAATTCAACAATTTATTGCGACAATACAAATTAAATTCCACTGCTGGCCACAGTCGTTGATAAACTGACCGTATTTGCAGTTTATAATCTTTTTTCTATCTCGTCTCAAGACATTTTTGCATTCAAAAACTATTCTTCTTCCTCTTTGCATTCACTCGCCATTCTCGTCTCGTAACGTTTTCTTTTTGTTTTATCACGCGTCTTATTTTGTGTTGATTGTTGAGAATTGTAAAGAGAACTTTAATAAAATAAAATAAAATAAAACAAATTGTACATGTGTCATGTAACGAATACACGCGCATCAGCAGCTGGCTGTTTGTATCGTCATATTTATATGATGTGCGGATGTCGCAACAACAAGTGTCTATTAGGATCACTCACTCATTCTCTCATTTCAATTGACACGATTGGGCACGAGCAATAGCTCTCTTCGAAACAGACTCAAATAAAGTAGAGAGAGTGTGTGTCTCTCGTGCAAAGGAATGGTAATTTATATAATTTCTGTAAATCTAATGGCAAATCATATGTGTACAATATGAGCGAATGATATGTATGTTAAAAAGAGATCTTATTGTGTGCGAGAGATCTAATTTAAACGAAGACACTAACTCATTTTTTTCCCTTCCAACTCGAAGAAGGTTAATATGACACCAAACGATGCATACACTTCAAATTTAAACTTAATCAGTTACTCACATGATCTTGTCATCGTTTGAGTCTCGAAATTGGTTTACGGGCGATTGGAAAAAATTAAATAAATGGTACACGTTTGGATGTGACCAATTCCAATTAATTTTTGAAGAAGAAAATGCGTAAGTGAAAAATCAAGTGTTTTTTTGTGCTATTTTGATAAAAATTGAATTTTATTTTATTGAAATTTATCACAGTCAAAAATCAACACCAAAAACAACTGTATGTCAGGCTAATTGATTGATTGTGAGACGTTTTGGTATAATTTCGGTGATTTGAAACTCGTTCAATCGATTCAGACACTCCGTTCGACTGGAATATTCGAGATTTTTTGGTCGGGTTATTGTTGCAATTATCAGTTCTTTTTTCGTTGAGTCAGATACACGGTAATTTGATTGCATGTCCAATTGATTCACTTCATCTTCACTGTCATTCACCAACACCACATAGCTTGCATGATAGTATGATGGCCCTTTGTAATACAGAACTGTACAGAGAAAGAGAAAAAAAAATATTTTTCAAAAAAAAAAGAAAAGATATGACTTTCAGCGAAGATTTTTTTTTATTTTCAACTAAAATTGTTTTTTAGTTTTAAAACAATTTTTCGTCTGTTGAAATTGAAATTGAACGAAATAAGTCACTTACGAAAATCTCCGCCAAACTTCAGTCCGCCTTTAACGACCCAATTCTTGCTGCGATAGTAGTGATAAGCAATAAATCGTTCGATGAATTTCGGGTTCATGTCACAGAACTTTTCCAGTAATTCTTCGGTGGTGAATTCATGTGTTTGCTCGAAGTTGAGAATTTTCAAGCATCGCAATGAATAATGCAACAAGAATGCTTCCTCCGGAAATAAAGCAAGATATTCTTCAATTGGAAATGGATCAGCCACCAAATTAGGTTCCGGCTCACTCTTTCTTGAAATTTCCATTGGTTCTGTCTTTTCAAGTACATTTTCCATGGTTTGATCGATGGTATTTTCATCTTCAATATTTTCATCTCCATTGTCTTCAAAGTCATCGCGTTCATCTTCATTTCCAATATTCTCACAGTCAATGGACGTTTCTTCCACACTTTTGTGTTTCAAATGATTTGTTTCTGATCTTTCGGCGGGTGCCAATAGATTTATCATTACCAGATCCGGATTTCGATTTGTGAAATTAGCATTCCATGCAAACTTCTGTACATATTGGCATTGGCTCACATTTTGCATTCGGGGAAGAGCGAAAAGTGACTGTGGTGTATTTTTTGTTTTTGTACTGAGTCCAAAGCAACCGTTTGAAAAAAGATGTTTTATTACATCCGAATCACTAATTTCCACGCTCAATCCATTAAAAATACCCGTAAATGGTTTTTCATCGTCGATTTTTGGTATACGGTCAATTGGAAATGCTCGTAAACTCGAGTCGGCCGAACATTTTTTTGCTTGAGGTAGTGACAACTCGTTGAAATTCATTCTCCAGATAAATTATTCACACAAAATTTATCAGAATTATAAACAAAAATTCACATAAAATCAACTCAAAAGAAAAAACAATTCGATTTAAATAACATCACAAACGTGTTTACTTGATTCGGTGCTTTCATGTGAATGGCACAGCAGCAGCAGCAGCAGCATGACAACTGACAGCTTCGTTGTGCACCTCTACTACGTTTTTATTGAATGACATGAGCTGTCATTCGTATTTTTATCACACACACAGTGTGAAACGTATGTGCGCATTTAGTTCACGTGAACAATATTTGATGGAAAAGTCACAAGACCCTCAGCTGAGAGAATACTTTTTTCAACCTAAACAGTGTTTGTGCGTTGTACGGAGCTAAAAAGAAATTCGTCGAGAACAAATACATTTTTCATCGCTAATTTTACTAAATTTCTTATTTGAAAAAGAATCGTGATTGCATTAAAACCATGGCAAATAACGTACAAGATTTGATTTCGTCATTGCCAGACGATAAAATTGGTGAGAAACAATCAAAGTTTATTTTTATGAATAGATGTCAAACAAATAAGCGATTCGCACATAGAAAATACAATTTTCTTTGTTTTTTTTTCGCATTGAATTTATCCGGTGTCCTTGCAAAATTGCAAACATCACTTTAAAAAAACTAGTCCCGAAGCAATGGAAAGAAATTCATATTTTTACGAACGAAAAATAAGTTTGTGATTTAAGCAAATGACTGAAAAATTTGACGTCACGAGACCTGTACAAAAACAAATATACATTCATTCATTCAATATAAAATGCATTCCGAACTCATTCCAATAAGAATGGTTCTAATTGAATTTCGTGTGATTTTGATTTGGTTTTTATTTTATTTTGCAGACATGATTGCCGCAACGAGTGTTTTGCAGCAACAAGCTGGTGACATTCGTCAAAATAAAATCAATTGGCAATCGTATGCCCAATCTCAAATGATAACCAATGAGGATTATATGTGCGTTAGCGCATTGGATAGTGATCAACGTGCATCCTATTTGCAACAAAATTCCGCCCAATGTGCCAAAACATTTTTGAATTTGTTGTCGCACGTATCAAAAGATCAAACGATTCAATACATTTTGGTAATGATTGATGATTTGCTGCAAGAGGATCGTTCACGTGTCGAAATCTTCCATGAATATGCGGCCAAGCGTAAGGAAAGTGTATGGGGACCATTTTTGAATTTGTTGAATCGTCAGGACGGTTTCATTGTCAATATGTCATCGCGCATTTTGGCCAAATTGGCATGCTGGGGCCATGAGCTCATGCCAAAAGCCGATTTGCACTTTTATTTGCAATGGTTGAAAGACCAACTCACCATCAAAGTAAGTACTAGAAAAACGTACATAACACACAATGTTCACGAATTTCGCGAACATAAAATTACCGTGCTGTGTATATTTAGCTTTCAAATAATCGGGAATATGGCCTCTAGCCTCTATTTAATTCGATTTTATGTGTAAAGACTCTCTAATTCGTCTGGAGAAAAAAGCAAACGTTATCTGTGCTTATTTTTGACAATTTGCTTCATTGTCTTTTAACTTGTGACTAATCCGTTCTGTTAATTTGTTGAGAAAAAAAAACTACTAAGATTTTTTTACTTATTGAGACCCATTAGAAAATCGTGTAAAAGTATTATTGATCGTTGTTTCAGTAGATTCATTTCAAATGTGTAGCTGTAAATATAATTGTGCCTAGTGCTTTGAATTGCATATATTAAACTCTAAATCAAATTGAACATATATATATATCACTAATCGCAGCCGAACTTGTAGCCTATTGCAGTCATTATCCATTACATTTTGTGTATATGTGTGTGTGTATTTGTTGAGTAGATTGTGTGTATTGATTCCATGTTAATGAATCAAAATAACCCGAAACTCTGTCATTGAATTGTTGCTAAATTAAAACCGAAGAAGATCTCAATCAATTCGGGTTATTCACTCGAGAGAAAAAAACATCGAATACGATGCACATAATGCACAATAAATTCGTGCACATTTTGTTCACCATTTATTTTTTTATTTTTATTCTTTGATAAAAATGTGTTTTAATTGTGTATTTTGCTCCATGTATAAAACATGTAATTTTTTTCCAATTTTTGCGCTTTTTTGTTATCGTTTTGTTTTTTGTTTTTGATTGATATAATTTAAAAAAAAACACACACACTTCTCGGTGAAAAACCAAAATGTTTTCACATTATATTCAATGTTCTCACTCCTAAAATCCACCGATATGATCATATTTTGCGTAAAATTCAAAAGGCCAAACAATATTTGCAAGAGATGGCTGAAAAAGTAAAAACAAATCGTAATCAGCACGCATTGCAACAGCAGCAACTGCAGTTTCAACAGCAACAACCACAAGCCCAATCGACGAATACCGAACGTTACAGTCTGCTTTCGGGCGATCAACGTGCATCGTCACCACCGCTTGTTCCAAAACCCCTATCGGTAGTTTTTATCCTTTTTGATTTTTTTTGCATTTCTGTTTTTTTATTTACATATTTTTTCCTATTTTTATGCATTTTGTGTATTTAAAATGAAAACAAAAAAAATATTTATATTTTTAGTGTAATTTAGTTTTAAGCTTTCAAGATTTAGTTTCATTGTCATATTTTGATGCTGATTTGTACACAATGTATTTTCCCTTTGTCCATTTAGTTGAGATGTTGTTGTCTAGTGTTATATATTGATTCTATCATTTCCAAGGTTTTTTTTTTTCATTCGTGCGTTTTACCTATCTCGTTTTTACAAATTGTTTTCCTTCATTCTTTTCCAAATGCTTTTAGTTTCGAATCATTTTTTTTTTAATTATTCGAGTAAATTTCATTAGAATATGCGCTTTAGATGCAAGAAAAATGGGTGAAAACTATGAATTTTATTATTGTCTATTTTTGGATATGGATGATTTTTTTTTATTTTACATACTGAAAAACGGTGAATTTATAAAATGATTTGAAAGAAAGAGAGCAAAAGACTGATTTAGTCAATTTTTTTATATTAACATATTTGGACATTTCGAAATTAAAAAAAAAATAATACCTTTCTAACAAGTTTTGGACTAAAGACAAAATTTAATAATTTTCTTCCACTAACGACGTCAATTGATTTGGCCATTATTTCTTTATTAACCTTTTTTTCTATTCTATTTGAAATGGAAAAATGTTCAGAACAACGAGTACATACAATCCGTTGCTAGATGTCTGCAGATGATGTTGCGTTTGGATGATTACCGTTTTGCATTCGTAGCGGTCGATGGAATCAGTACCTTGTTGAGTATTCTTTCATCACGTGTCAACTTCCAGGTATGTTTACTTTTCAAGTTTCTTCTAAATAAAAAAAGTACAAAAAATCTCTTTCTTAAATAAATTTCTTTAAATTTCAGGTCCAATATCAATTGATTTTCTGTTTGTGGGTATTGACATTCAACCCGTTGTTGGCCGAAAAGATGAACAAATTCAATGCCATTCCGATCTTGGCGAGTATTTTGAATGATTCAGCCAAGGAAAAGGTGACACGCATCATTTTGGCGGTTTATCGTAATTTGATTGAAAAACCATCCGATCCAAATATTTCGAAGGAGCATTGCATTGCCATGGTCCAGTGCAAAGTATTGAAACAATTGTCGATTTTGGAACAACGTCGTTTCGATGACGAAGATATTACCGGCGATGTTGAATATTTGACCGAAAAACTACAAAGCTCCGTACAGGATTTGAGTTCATTCGACGAATATTCGACCGAAGTCAAGAGTGGACGGTATGATTTTTTATTTTCTGCATTTTCATATTTTCCAATAACGTTTGATTTCTTTGCAGTTTGGAATGGTCGCCAGTTCACAAGTCAGCCAAATTCTGGCGTGAAAATGCTTTACGTTTGAATGAAAAGAACTACGATCTATTGCGTACATTGATTCATTTCTTGGAAATATCGAAGGATCCATTGGTGTTGGCTGTTGCTAGCTACGATATCGGTGAATATGTTCGCCATAACCCAAGGGGAAAACAGTAAGTTTTTTGTCGCACCTAATTTCAAAACAATCCCATTCGAGTAACAAATTAATATAAAATTTGTCTGCCGTAGTTTAATCGAACATTTTGGCGGTAAACAATTGGTGATGCAACTCTTGAGCCACGAAGATCCAAATGTGCGATATGAAGCACTGGTTGCTGTGCAAAAACTGATGGTTCACAACTGGTAAGACACCTCACCCCCAAACACATTCTCCTTATCCTTTTGAAGTCAATATTAATGGCCTTTGTTTTGCTCTTCAATTCATTTCCAGGGAATATTTGGGCAAGCAATTGGAAAAAGAGAGCGAAGGAAGCAATCAAAACTCTGGCCCAGCAACAATCCAAGGAAAAGCCTAAGCATATGTGCAATAGTCGATGCAATATCTATGAAAAACAGCGCATTAGTTTTTATTCTTTTTGCACAAAATTACTTACCACAACAGAATGCAAATAAGAATCCCGAAAATTTGGAGAAAAAAGGGAAAAAAATGTTTAAAAAATTTATTTGTTTTTTTTAGTAGTTAAGACAAAATCGAATTGTAACAATAATAATTTGTGTTGTAGCCAGCTTCATTCGAAAAGAAAAAAAAATTGTTTGTGAAGGTTTATAGTTTCATTCGATTAGAATCAACAACAAAAGCAAATTTCATGTAAATGTTTGTATGTAAATATCCTTTATTGTATAGTATCAAATCAGATCACATGCGATGCACAAGACTTCGTAATAATAATTTCGTTTTGGAACACTAAACCAGTCAATAGCAGTAACATTCCATTCGAATTGGATACTTTTTGAAAGAAATAGAAAAAAAAAACTTTTTTTTTCTTCTAGTTCAATTTCAAATCAGACTGTTTCTTTTAAAACCACTGACGATATACAGTTTTCGATGTCCATAAAATCAACGAAATTGAATGGTTTTATGTGTTTTTTTTTGTTTTGTTTTCGCATCAACACATTGTTACAATTTCTCTTGAATTGAAGACATGCAAGTATTATTTTAAACTATTCTATCATAGATTGTTAGACATTTGAATGAAACATAAAAACAGAAATCTATTACTTTTTTCTCTATTCACATATATAAATAAAGATTATCTCTAAATGATACTAACAGAGAGTTTACAGTTTTTATGAATTCTTTTTATCAGGTATGGTAATTTTTTTTATCAGGAATGAGAAGTTTTTAATCTTTAAATTCCCCTTATCATATTATTATTGCTAACGTTTCTGTATTGCGGATTGTCATATGATTGTTCACGTCTGATTGAATGAATTTGATGATTAAGCTTCATGATATCTTTGTACTTTCGCACATATTGATTAACTATGAATATTGGATTGTAGTTGTTTATTTTCAAGGCATCATTGCTAAGTCTTAGGGGGTAAATTGGTTCAATTCTGACGTTCAATTCCATTCGAATGTATTCATAAATATTGCCAACCCAAAGAAAAAGGGCAGTGAAATCTCTTTTGTAAGCATCCAACACGAAATCATTCGAATAAATACCCGTTTGATCTAACGCATATTCCGGCATATACCTCCCATATAAAGTTTGATTTTCTTCTTTTTTTGTCATAGTTTAATGACCCAGTGCCCAATGATCACTTTCTTATCTTGTTTAGGAGCAATAGTATGTTTCAAAGTCATTCGATACGTTTTTTTAATTTTGAGATAACATTTTTCAGTCAGTAGGTACCATTTATACGCATCGAAGAAAGTATTGACTGATCAATGATCATGGAGCAAACTTGAATGCAAAAGACAAAGATGATAAAACAATGGATACTTTCAATGTAAAAATCAGAAAATCGTGTATTCAATAGAAATTGTTTATTTTCATTTTATAGAAGAAGGAAAGAGAGAAAAAGCCCGGATTGTTGCAAGGATCAACGAATTTAAGGAATATGTTAAAAACACACCAAATAATTAGAATTGCATTTATCCTAAAAGCAGATGAAATAGGACCAACTGAAAAACTGCACTTTTAGATATTTTTCGTTAATCAGCGCTACCCATATGAAACCTCAACGCTATGCGCGTCAAATCGACGTTATTCGACGCTATTCCATGTGTATATAGAATTCCAGGGGCTTTTATGTTAAAATGAATACTACGATTTCAGTAAATATTGAAACATAATGCTGAATATTCAATGAATATTGTATGTATATAAAGAATATACACAAATAAATGTGTATAATTGCATAAATTTGATGAATATTTCGTGAATATTTCGTGAATATTTCCTGTATATATGAAATATACATATTTTGTCATTCTCTTTAGTGCGGACTTTCTTCGTTCCTGTGTCGCTTACTGTGAATATTCACAACATACAGTAGAAAATACGAAATATTCACTAGAGATT